AACGGATTTGAATATCACGTTCTCTTCATTTAAACAAGCTTATTTCTTAAATTATACCAATTTATTATACTTGATATTACATTTTATACTGCTGTTTATACTATAAATTGTTATATTAAAGTATAAGCTTCCACCTTGTATAAATCCTATACCCTATATTATCTTATGTTAATGTCAAAATGTTGTTTTGCTCTAAATATAAGAAAACAGACAAACACTAAGGATCATTACATAATCATATATTATTTACTAAATTGTGTATATAGAGATACTAGTGCTGTCAATTAATAAAAAAATTGAACTGTGTTCATCACTATAAAAATGTTTAAAAGTTTAATGTGTGAGAGAGTGACAAGAGCTATATTCAGAGCTCTGCTGCCTTGGCTACAATCTTTCATCGTTGCTGTTGTATGATTGGTGTTTAACTACGGTATTTAGCGTCTACAGCACCTCCGCTTTTAGGGTTGACGTAGACCCAAACGTCGCCCGGAGGTCCCCCGGTGTTGTTGCGGGAGCTGCTGCACTAGCTAACACTGCATTAGCAAAACAAACGCTAATTTTGTTTGCAAAAGGTGCAGCGGGCTTCAAACACGTTCCCTCCACTGGTTTCAACCAAGCACTAAATTCGATCTTTTCCAACCAAATACGGTTGAACTTACACTTCCCCATATTTATTTGTAAGTAGATTCGAAGATACATGAGTTCCTGACTGCCGCTAGCTGAAGCTTGGTTGCTAGGTTACTAGCTGGGTGTTCTCCGATAAGGGGCCGGGGGAAACAAAGTTAGTGATTACGGGTTCCATGTTGATTTATTTCAATACAAATGGTTGGGGGGAACTGAAAGGCTATTACCGTACTGGTTACTTTGCAGCCCGGACATTTCCCCCAAAACACATTTAGACGCGATCGCAACCCAGAAGTACCTTTCAAATCCCATCATTTTTAAGACCTTCTAAATCATATTTAAGACCTTTCTTATTTTTTTGGTCATATTTAAGACCTTTTTAAGGCCTTGAATTCAGATTATCAAATTTAAGACTTTTTAAGACTTTTTAAGACCCCGCAGGAACCCTGTACAAAATATTGAATCAAAGTTAAATTGGAAAAGTAATGTTTTCTCAATGTGATAAGTGCAGAGAGAAGACCACAAAGGAAACTAAATAGCAAGTTTAAACGTGCCTCTTACTTACAAACTAGAGTACTTACCAGAACAACTATCTTCGCCTTGGGTAGGCGGGAGGTGAGCAGTTGCGCAATAGCATGAACTCCTCCTGCAACTTGCTCTGCTGTGTGTTGGTGGTTATTGGTTCCTACCCACAACACCACCACCTGGACAAGGCCACAGACAGACAAATTGTTCATGTTTACTGAACACAGTTATGTAGCTGACGCTCAAAGTGCCCTTGTTTATTGTTTTGTATTTTTTGAAGAGTGCCTAATGTATGATTGAACTTTGTTAAAAATGACAAGAGTTTTATTTCCGGAAGTCAAGTGACCTCTAGCCCGGATGTTTACTTTGTGTTTGTGAGAGGGTAAAGGGCGCTAAAAGTGTAAACGATGTATAACGTAATTCTACTGCTGGTCTACTAGGCAAACACGTTTTCACGGTGTTTCATAATTGTACAAAGAAGAAAATAAACGTGATTGTGGACATCAGTTCGATGCGTAACGTTCTTTCAAGACCAGAGTAGTTACAAGTTAAATTGACAAAAGTGTGATCAAAGCATTGCATACAGAAATGCTAACATCCTGTTAGTTTTGACTATAGGAATGAGTTGTCTTGGCTTTATATCTGGGTGATGGGTGAGCAATGCAAGCTGTTCCCTATGTCTATATCATCAGCACCACCATAAGCACTGTGAGGGGGATACAACAGACTGTTGCCTCTGCTCCTCCTAAAAGGGATCCTCCAAATCTGGTATGTCACAATACCAGAAATGTGTTTATTGCTAGGAATACCAGTGAAATGTGCTATTCTTGATACCAATTCATTGTAAAAATCAATAAATAAAAATCAATTAAACCCTGGCTCAACTCACTTATTACCATTGCCATACTGGTTTTTGTCAGCTAGTTAACTATGTCATAATTCCCTGTCTTATATCTCTTTTATATTGCAATAATAACTTGTTTTTATTTGTTTCTTGCCAAAAATTATTTTCCACTATAATATAATTGAGCACATCATGAAAAGGTTATAATTAACCTTAGCCCATGTAGGTTTTTACTAAATAGAGCATGAACACATCATAGTGCAACTTCAAGGAACCTTGCTACACCGACTGCTAACAGCTAAAGTTAACTAGCTCTCCTGCCGATTTAAACTAAGATTTGTTTTTCACAGCGTTACAATATAAAAGGAAACCGTAGGATGCATTCCCTGGATGTGTTGTGAGTGCCAAACCAAAACCTTCTCTTTTGCCTACAGGAGGATGATTTGAAATGATAAAGAGGGCAGGGAAGATCACATGCAAGATTTTTGTAAAAGGACCAAACTGATTTCTGAGTCAAAGAGACAAAAGAAGTGTATGCACATGGTGTTTCATGGATAACGGAAATCAAATGTGTATGCAGAGTATTTGTTGTGCATGTGAGATGTAAATTAGTGAACTGTATGCTGGAGGTCTAGGCAGGTGTTTCTCACCTTGGGACGGATGTTATCCAGCTCTCCATTCTGCAGCCTCCACAGCACATTACAGGTGTTGTCCCCTCCAATGCCAAAGTTGAGCGCATGAAGAGGAGAGAATAACTCCCTCCAGACCTGTGCGGAGGAAAATAAAAAATCTACAATTCATATGAACATTTCTGAACTTTGGTGACTTATATCAAGCAACTCACTGAGGCTGAGTAAATGTTAAGAGAGTAGCCATTACAAATGTACATTTACATTAGAGTACTGATTGAAAATAATATGATTTAGTAAAAACTACATAAAGATGCAAGTGTGTCGAATGAGCCTGTTTAGAAAGATAATTATCTTGTCTCACCTCATACTGCTTCATTAGTTGTATCATAGAATCTCCCACAAAAAGCACGTCTGGTTCAGCATCCTTACACTCCTGCACAAATCTTATGTGCTGTAAAAAAACACCCCAAAACAACACAGCCTCGTCACAACAGAGTATGAGATGCAGTCAATAATCATGATCATAAAATACACTTTAAAGAAAACTATGCCATTTAAATCAGTTGCTTATTATGCATTTCAATCTGAATTAAGGCCTCAGTTTTCTAAACGTTTAGATAATTGTCCTTCCGAGTCAAACAAAATAATGCAACCTTATCGCACGACAAGACTAGTTGTAGCTTTTGAAAACTACATTTGAGAAGACAGACCAGAAGGTGCCACTAAAAAACTACATAAAGTGATGCTCTGAAAGAAAAACATCCATCTTGGGAATGGTTACTTCAATCTTTGTCCCACATTTGTAAATTGTATAATTGAAAGTACTGTCAAAGCATTATCTCATGAGAATGTGTTTTTCTCGCCTCTAGCTGTGGGATCAACGCACAATATTGAAAATGAATGGTGGATATTTAACACAATATGAAATGTGTTGTTGCTGCATTATAAAATGTGTTGTATTTGGGGCAGATTAAATAATAAGATTTCCAAGAATATACATTCTAACAGATTCAGGAGATGTGAATGTCAATCACTTGAGCATACAGACACATGAGAACAAATATATTAAATAACATACGTTTTATATTTATTGTGCATGTGTTTGAGTGGGAAGGGTCAGGCAGAGTTGCAGTGGTTTGTTATTTAGACTGAGCAGAAAACAACAAACCACTGAGACAACACTAACATAAAGCATGCATAATAAAGACAATGCCCAATCAAATGTTCCATCTGATCAAGAATGGAAAAAGACAAACCTTTCAATGAAATAATGCCAATCCTCCAGATGATAATAATGCATTGTAAATAGTGAATACATTTAGTCATTTTTATATGATATAGCTATTAAAAAAACAAACCTGAGACATCCACCGGTCATCTCCTTGCGCATCCTCTACTGGCTTTGCCACTGCAGCTGGGTTCACTTCATCACCACTCATCCTGCAGGAGAAACCACCACTTATTCACACGTAAAAAACAACATATAGCTCTAAATTAACAGAGACACGAGGCGTATATGAAAGAGGACGGGTTCATGTTGTGGTAGGTTGGTGGGGCTGCGTTGAAAAGGGAAAGCATCAGCACTAGCTAGCAGAAACCTATGCTGTGATGCAGAAGCGTAACATACCAGCAGCAGAGACACTGGCCTAATAGAGATACAGGCAAACGTGCTTTCGCTTTCCAGGCTTATGGATCACAGAGCAGGTGGCAATAAACTTGCTGTGTGACAGTTGATATGACGTTAGCTTGCTAGCCAGCTAGCTATCCTGCTAATGACTGGAACCTGTTATGGCTGCACCTCTGATACTCAACGTTTGACAAGACCGTCATAAATATAACAATGTAAAAACATATTTCGTCCTTAATTTAAAAGATAAACTACCTGGCAGGGTGTCAGCCGTCACGTGTCGACTCCCTCGGCTTCAGAGTTGCTGTTTTGCCCTAACTAAACTTCAACGCTGGCGGGTGATGTTCGCTAGCTAGCAACGGTTAGCCAACTCTAGCTAGACGAGACAACAAAAGGTGTGTCAAGAAGGCAAACTACAGAGAGTGTAATGCGAGAAGAGCGCCCATTTGATACCACTAGCCGTAACCATTCAGTCTGGCCGTTCGAGAGCACTGCAGTGAGCTAATGCTAGATGATGGAGTTTGTTCCCTGAGTATTGTCTGACAGGCAGGCATTTGTGACTGGCTGCCAGAACCAAACTCTTATGTTCATGGCAATAAAAAGCTTATGTAGCTTAAACCAAACATGCTGCTACATTATGTAAACTGTGGAGGTTGTTGAGGTCGACACACAGCTTACAGATGCTCTTTCCTGACAGATCATTCTCAGGGGAAGAAAAACCCCAAAACAACTGGTCCCGCAATGTATCATGGGTGGGTCGCTGGCATACAAATGCTGCATTAAAACCATAGACTCGAACTTTAAAACCCTAATAGAGTTTACTTCCGATTCACAAACAACGAATTAATCCGTGGTTAGACACTAAGGAGGAAATTAATTCGAAGTGTGAGGGTATAGTTCAGACAGTATACAGCACTGCCGACATCTTTTCTGTATGACTCTCTTACTTCCACTGTTGGCCCATCTTAACACCAGATACCGTATGTTTAGAGAGCATCTTTGTTAATACACCATCTCTGATCTCAGCCCTGCCTGTCAGATTATCGCAATGCATCATGGTCACGTTTGATAAAATACTGCATTCCTGTGCAGTATGAAATACAGGAAATGTCATGAAACTATTATTTTTAGCAGTTGTTGGAAATAATGCTTTAAACACAACCAACATTAATTACACAATTTCATGAATTAATCACTATAGATATACACAATTGTGTCATGGCCTCTTTAGATCTTTTACCCTAAATTACAGTGACCATTTGAACATGGTTGTTGATGTCACATCAAATCTGAACTAACACATGATCAACCAGATCAGCACTCCACCCAGACTGTTGAGTTCCTCTTTATGCCATACACAGCCACCTCTGAGAGCGGTAACACCACAGTTCTTTGTGTAACTACTCAACCACTGTAACGGGGGTTACGTATTGTAACCCTTGTTATATAAGCACAGGCGGAGCCCTCTACTGGACTCTATGGGTACTACCTTATCATGCAAGCATACACCTACTGAGATTTCTATAGATGTAGCCGGCCCCGGGGCGGGCCTACCTGAATGCGCGCGCATCTCACCTCCTGACCATCATCCTACACCTCTCTTCAGCGAGCGGTATAGGACAGACAGTGCCCCTGAGTAGAGGGCTCCGCCTGTGCTTATATAACAAGGGTTACAATACGTAACCCCCCGTTATATCTCTCACAGGCTCCGCCCTCTACTGGACTCTATGGGTACAGTGGGCGGAGCCCCGATGTATACACGCACTGTCGTCCAGCACACCGTTCCACCTCACTGTCCCTGACCGGCTTTAGCAGCCGCTGCGCCTCACTAACCTCTCCCTCGGTTGTAACCGTGGAGAAGTCCGGGCTGCGGCTGACAGAGCACACCTTGATGCGCTTAGCTCGCGAAAAGTGTGCTGAGGGCTCCCCCCCGTCCGCCTATAGGCAGACAGAGAAAGTCCCCAGCCCTGTATGGGTTCACTATTGGCGCATTTCCACCACACGGTTGGCCTCGGCCTCGCTCTGTACTGCTAGGCCGCGTTGGGCCTTGTTAGGGCCGGCTCACATCATGCTGCGCTTCCATTACAGTTTAGGAACTGGGGTAGTTACTATAGTAACGCAGTGTAGGCGGAGCCGTGACGTCATCTTCAATGAGAACCCCAGAAAAACAACACAGCCGTTAGCTGTTAGCACTCAGAGCTCACAGCTCCTCATATATGTTCAGAAAGTAGACTAAAGTTAAACAAGTACACACCACAGACTGCCTGTGTCATGACGAATACAGTCGCTGCTTTATTTATGTCTGTATAGGCCGTTGTTGTGAGTGTGGACGGTCGGAGCATATATTGAGTTAGCTTAGCCAATCTCCATCTAGAAAACACGCATTTTAAAAGAACCTGAACTTCTAATTCTACCTTACCTATGCAGACTAAGTCCACTTGAAGGGGGTTGTTTGATACCATTAGATATAAACATATTCTACTCCACATGAAGTGATGGTTTGGCAGTTAGTAATATTAAGCTGTAAATGCAGAAATGTCCTGTTACACATATTTGTGCAAATAAAACGTGCACCCAGTCTGGTCAGTGTTATTTGTCAAACACATGTCAAAACCCTGAACTCTACACACCCTTACAATCATTAACCAGTTGCGAAATTAGAGCATTGACCAGAATGCATGACAGGCAATAAAAAAGTCCTCTGGATTTGTTGATTTATCAATAGGTACAAAAACAAAAACTGTTTATTTTTACAATTTATACCTACAGACACAAGACACTCTTCTATAATTAGACAACCCATTAGAGAGCATTTGTTCTAACATCGTTTTTCTTTCTTTAGGGATGCAAAAAGTCAGCGGGATGCAAGTTTATACTGAGGTGGAAGCATTTAACGGGACAGATGTGAAACTGAGGTGCATCTTCAGTTCCAGATATCCTGTCACGTTTGTGTCAGTGATTTGGAAGTTCAAACCCCTGCACGGGAGACCTGAGACGGTGTGTGGCACTGGATGTTGAAGTTGTGTTTCAATGTCATTTTGTGTGTTTCAGGTGATGTACTACAAGGTGAGGCCGTATCCTCCGCCTGAAGGGCGTTTTAGAAACCAGGTTGTGTGGTCAGGGGATGTCATGAAAAAAGACGCCTCCATCACCCTGCTGCAAGTGTCCCAGACTTTCAGTGGTACCTACACCTGCATGGTGCGCAACCCGCCTGATGTACATGGAAGAGATGGAGAGGTCGTCCTCAGAGTGGCCAACAAGACAACAAGTAAGCCCTGTTTCATCCCGTATTCACAAAGCCATGCTTCATTCTGGGGACCCAGATTTGCCACTGGTCATTTATGTCTCAATAATTGTAATCGGTGGGAGTCCTTACACTATTGTTTCTATCACTCTTTCCTTCTCTATTTTTCTTGTTGCAGGTTTTATTCCACATGACTTGCACCTGGATATTATTTGGAAATGAATGGTGCAGTGGTGTGAAGGATGTTGAGTGAAATTGTTTGATTACTGAAATGTTCAGGTCCAAGTATTACTATAAGACCTTTAGAACTAAAAACAAGGTGCGTTCCTGTTGTAAGTGGAGGATCTACTTTTCCTCCTGTACAACAGTGACTGTAGGTCTGTCACTTTCACTTCTAAATAAACATTCTGTGGTTTGAAATCTGTGTGATCTCCTTATTTTTTAGACTCCACTGAGCCTGTGTTGTGTCAGTGCGGGTATTTTTAATAATATTTTCCAACAAAAAAACATATCAGACACAAATCATTATTCAAACATGCTTTTATCAGTCCTGAACACATAGTGTAGATGTCTGAGTACATAAATACTTTTAAATTATCCAAATTTGAAGAGATATGTCTATTTAGGAGTGTGAAAACTTAGAAAATGAACAATATGTAATGACGTACAGCACTGTATAGTCATACAAATGTCAGTGACTCAATATTGTTGGGAAAATATTTTCCAAGGCCCATAACTTTGGCCCAGTTTATCAGTTCATACTGTCCTGACTGAGCACACGCACTTGTAACCTTGGCTGCTGTGCTCTCATTGTTTTGTCTCCCTGTTCCTGCCTGTTGGCGTCAGCTGATAGAGGTGTATTCTATCTTGTTATGCACAATGTTGATTATTCTCTCTGAACTAGCTAAATACATGGGTCTGGGGTAGAGTTCTTCAGAATTTACGTGGCAATTCTGCCGTGAAGTCAGATTCTCTGACTCTTTGACTTGTTTTGTGAATTCTCCGGCCGAAGCTCCAAATAAACCCATCAGTGTTTGACATCAAAGCTCCAGCTCTCCTCGTGTCTCCTTTGAGTCGGTGACTCCTCCTGCATTGCTACACAGAAGTTTCCCCCACAAATATGTATATTTATCTTTGAAACCTTGCCATATTTATAGATGTTTCCTCTAGAAAGAGATAATAAGGATGTAAATCTGTGAATGTTTTGGGGTGGCAAAGACAGTTACCTCGGGATCTAATGATGAACTAAATAAAAGGCTAACAAATAATACAACAGTGATGATACTTACTATTACATGCAAAATCCTCATGTTAACATTATTTTTCTTTTTATAATCAGGAATTAGCTGTAGGCCACTAAACCTATTATCATTATGCAAAATAAAAAATGTTAGAAGCTTTTTCTACTATTTCCCATGATACTCGAATATAACACTGTCTTCTGCTTAAGTGAACAATTACTATTTGTGATATGACCCTGTTGCCACAAGATGGTACCAGTCAGCAGAAAACTCCTTTAATCATTCAAACCTTAAATTGACCCTCAGCCACAGCAGTGGTGAAAGTAGATTTACTCAAGTAAACTTCAATCAGGTACTTGTACTTGACTATTTGAATATTTACTACAGATTATTGATATAATCAACACTTAAATAAGACTTTAGTTACAGCTTTGATAAACACAATAATACATCTATAGTTATAATCAAAACATATCAATTATATTATTCTGAAATAGGCCAATTTGCATAATGAGTACTTTTACTTTTGTAACTTTAAGTATATTTTGATGCCAGTACTTTTGTACTTTTACTTGTAACATAGTAGCCTATTCGGTAACACTTTACAATAAGGTACACAAAATGTGCTTAGTTACTGCTTAGTTACTGAGGAACTACTAGGTAGTTAATGGTTAGTTAATGAGTAGTTCCTCAGGGACTGCGATTGAGGAACTGATGGTTAGTTACTGGTAAACAGACTGGGGGGTACTGTATTAACGAATCATTCGTTAATGGTTACTTAATGAGTAGTTCCTCAGTGACTTCGATGGATGGTTAGTTAGTTACTGGTAAACAGACTGGGGGTACTGTATTAATGAATCATTCGTTAATGGTTACTTAATGAGGAGTTCCTGGGAGACTTTGATTGAAGCAATGGTCCGCTGCAGCAGGGCACTTTTAAACCTGCCATCTTCGGCTGGCTTGGGTCCCACACTGGATCAACTGGTGGAGGTGGATCCGACTCACGTTTTACTGCTTAAGTCATCATTATTTACCTTACCATTACTTAGGCCGTTTGGGTACGGTAAACTCAAGGAACTCAAACAAAAACAGTAGTTACCCATTACCTAATGCTTACTTTACCGTTACTAAAACAGTAGTTGCCCATTACCTAATGCTTACTTGACCATTCATTAAGCAGTATGTGTCCCCTCAAGTAAAGTAATGCATCAAAAACAGTAGTTACCCATTACCTAATGCTTACTTGACCATTCATTAAGCAGTATGTGTCCCCTCAAGTAAAGTAATGCATCAAAAACAGTAGTTACCCATTACCTAATGCTTACTTGACCATTCATTAAGCAGTATGTGTCCCCTCAAGTAAAGTAATGCATCAAAAACAGTAGTTACCCATTACCTAATGCTTACTTGACCATTCATTAAGCAGTATGTGTCCCCTCAAGTAAAGTAATGCATCAAAAACAGTAGTTACCCATTACCTAATGCTTACTTGACCATTCATTAAGCAGTATGTGTCCCCTCAAGTAAAGTAATGCATCAAAAACAGTAGTTACCCATTACCTAATGCTTACTTGACCATTCATTAAGCAGTATGTGTCCCCTCAAGTAAAGTAAGGCATCAAAAACAGTAGTTACCCATTACCTAATGCTTACTTGACCATTCATTAAGCAGTAGTTACCCATTAACTAATGATTACCTCACCATTATTTAAGCAGTTTAACAAACAAACAAACCCTGTGCACTCAAGTTTACATTTTTATTTAAACAACAATCCAAAGCACACTAATAACAAAAAGGAGGTTGCTTTCAGAACTTGTAAAAGCGGCGTATGTCATGCAGCAATCTGCCTAAGGGGCCATCTTTGTGTTTATTTGCCAGCCAATGTGTCCACTCGATCAAAGCAAGATGACTCTTCAGAGTCTTCTCTGTGCGGTTTCCTCGCAGTCTCCAGACCTGTGACTTGTACGTTGACCAAGCCCGCTCAATGTTTTGGGTGTGGGCTCCTGTGACTGGGTTCACAAATGAACGGCTGTGGTTCACAGAGAAATGGACAAAGCCACTTTCTGCGATTGCAGTGATGTATGCCCTCCACATGTCCGTTATCACCGTGGTCCCTTGGCGAACGTATTTTGTGACCAGAGGAATTAAGTGGCGCCTCGATCTCTGTTTCACCAGCCTCAGGATAGGTCTTCTCCTTGTTCCTCTGATGCCCAGCATACCAAAGACCCATTTTCTCCTCCTCCACGTAGGACCGAATCTTCCCCTACCATACTGTAATAAAGCAGTGAAAAAGGACAACAAAATTATATAAAAATAAACATCAGTAATTTCAATTGATAAACAAAGTGAAATGTGTTTGTTATTTGCGTTTTTTTACAATTTAAAAATATTCACTTCCTTTCTCAAAAAAGAAGAGAAAAATATTAAAATGTAGTGGTACAAACAGAAAAGGCTGTTTAATTTTATTAAGTTAAAGTTTGCTTATTTTGCTGCAAGAAACATGAAAAGGTAAGATAGATATTGGAATTAGATGATATATAAATAGATTATGCCCTTTTAAAATGTTAGTAATAAAATGTAAGAATATGGATTTATTTCCTTATTGATTAATGATCTGATTGGATGAGATACTTCTTAGCTTCTAAATTCTTTTTTTCTGTTATTTGACTGTGTATACACTGTGGAGCTGGCTCTCTCTAATGTATACTCTGTCTTGGAAGCCTAAGCACGCCAGTCATAAGGGTGTGAATGACACAATTATAAAATTACATTACTTTGCTCAGTCATTTGTTAATCTCTGACCTTAAAAGATATGTTATTATTTCACCTTGAAAAACAAAGTTTTTAGTTTTAGTGAGGCCAAAGGCTAAGGCTCTGTAGTTTATACACACCTTCCTTTTGTGGTAGAAGTTGCTTTCGTCCAGCATGACAAATTCATTTGGTCCTCCAAGTCTCTGCTTTCCCCTCCTTTCTCTCCTCCTGATTGCACGCTTGCAGACCTTCCTCAACTTCTGGCTCATTTTTGACAGCGTGCGACTGCTTCCTGCCACGCCATCCTGCAGCATGTCCATTTGCCTTAGCTGCAGTCCCTGGGAAAATCTGTTAAAGATCAATATACAATTACTAAATATGAACAAAAACATATGAAGACGAACGCATTCAGCACCAGTGGCTAATGTATTAATTATATAATTCACATTAGACATTTGTTATTACTCAAAATGAAACAGAATATTTTAATGTTGCTAATTAATTGTATCTATCAAGTTTTCCTATATCATAGCATCTACGCATGTATTTTTAAACTATTAGAATAATCACACATTTAAACATTCTGAACCCATTTTTTTGTTGAGGAACATTTTTGAATGCAGGAATTTTACTGTAACAGAGTATTCGTACACTCTGGTACTTCTACTTTTACTCTAGTACAAGATCTGAGTACTTCTACTCAAGTGCAATATCTGAGTACTTCTACTTTTACTCAAGTACAATATCTGAGTACTTCTACTTTTACTAAAGTACCCGATCTGAGTACTTCTACTTTTACTAAAGTACCCGATCTGAGTACTTCTACTTTTACTAAAGTACAAGATCTATACTTATACCACCTCTGTTTATAGCCTATGAAAAAATTAGAAAACGAAGGCTAAAGCTAATGTTAGCTATTTAGTGACAATGTATGCTAGTTAGCTAGCTCAACGATTCCTTAAATAATATTGCGACAGAAAAAAAATGTTGTTCACATCACGCTCTGCTCTGAACACCCGAACGTAAGGCGATATGGGTCCGTTCTTATTGTGCATCCATGGGTAAAGGTAAAACGTTTATATACAGTCTATGGGTAAAACGCATGTAGTACTGAACACGTAACATGAACGTGCCGGGCGGCGCGGTCTCGTGGGTTAGATGCGCGTTCATAATGCCGAGGGAAATAACTCTCGAATATTGTCATCAGAGTCCGGCGCAGTTTGTTTGTAGCCGTTATTTAACCAGGTGAAAAATCCCATTGAGATCAACTATCTCTTTTTCAAGGGATACCTGCAGTTCCTGGGGGCTTGGTGTGAAAGCGACGCCAATGTGCCCCGCCACACCTCCAAGCCGCCTGCGTTGTGAATTGCCAAATAACTAGCATTTAGTCCGCTAGCTCAATGCTAACATATAATGGATAACGGAATTGACGCGCTAACTGAAATTAGCATTTAGATATCGGCAATGTTAAACAACAGTCAACATGCTTAAAATAAACGTAATACTTACAGGCATTAATTTGCTGTGCTCTGAGGAAATGACTGATATTATTGATTAATTAATATTACCTGTAAATGTATTTCATCCAGCTGCACAAGGATAATTTGCTCCTCTCAAACAGGGACAAACACCTCACTGACTTCTTCGTCGTTCTCCCTCGGTGTGTTTTACGTCGGCACTTCCTACAAAAGACACATCGTAAATTCATAGTCCTTTTTTCCTGATAAAGAACTTATCTTTGTAACATTACATATCAGTAAACAGAGGAAGTCATCGTTAAAACCCGTGCTAAAAATGTAAGACTTACCACTGCAGTCCGTCGACGTTTGAGTGTTTCTCCAGTTTCATCCTCTTTTTGCAGAGTTTGCATTTCATTTTACCTTGAAGCAATTTGTTTTTCATTAGCCATTCAATTAATTTTTTCTTTTTTTTATAAAAGTCTGTCTTCCGTCAATAAGACTGAGTACTTTGGTGTGCAGTGTCATGATTATAACCTAAAACCATAGACTACTGCGGCGTTACTACTGCGTTACTGCGGCCTGTCCACAAACCCTAACACCCAGCGTAGTTCAACATGTGCTGCCGCTGGGCCAGACCGGAAGTTGAAGCACAGCGAACTCCGCCGCGGAGCCACTTAGGGCCCTAGCACCCTGATCCTCATTTCTTGTTCACACGATTCAAACCAATAGTTTTGATGTTTTGAATCAGGTATTTCATCTTCCTTGTTAAATTGACAAAGCACAGCTTCTGTATCTTCACTGATATACAATTAAAATATTAAAACTGTAATAAAGTGTTAATGCGCTGCAAATCGGGATCCGGCTGGAGCACTACGCAAGACACGCCCCTTCATAGCATTCAAGTGCTACGATTGGCCATGAGCCTGTCACGTGCATCTCGGCTAGTGACAAGACGTGAGTTCAATCCCCCAAAGACTGTATCTAAAACCCAACCTCTACACCTTATACACACAGTCTATGCTCTATACGTAGAACTGAAAATGGACTCGAGGAAAAGCAAGCGAAAGAAGATGCCCCCCAAGCGTTTAGTGTCTGAATGTAAGTATGAATTTAAATGTGTTTTTTATTACACATGTATTACACTTTTTGTTCTGTGCTATCTGATTTGAGGTTGCTAGCTAAACCACGAGGACCCACCGTGACACACGTGTTACATAATAATAATAATAATAATAATAATAATAATAATAATACATTACATTTATAAAGCCCCTTCCTGGAGCTCAAAGCACTTACATGACATTTCAATGTTCTGTAAAGTTCCTTCAAATCAAATCAAATCAAGGTTTATTTATAAAGCACATTTAAAAGCGATTTTTGGTCGGGCCAAAGTGCTGTACATGTAATAAATACTACAATCACAATAAAAGATTATACAGCTTTAAACTTGTTTTTATCTCATAAAGTCCTGGCGCGTTTCCACTACAGCCCGCAGCCCGGTTTAAGAGGGCTGTGACGTCAGCGGCCCGTTTGTGGTTGCGTTTCCACTTGGCCTAGTACCGGCCGGCGGGTCCTAATTCACAGTTTTTCTGGCCTCATAAAATCGTGGGGCCAGGGCCAGAGACAACGAGGCTGAGTTTGTGACGTCAACGCTCTCGGCTGCTGATTGGTCGGAGAGAATCGTCACAATCTGCGCGCTAGATAATCCATTTTTACAAACAGCATTTTTGTTAACAGAGGAGCTACAACAATGGCAAAGAAAAGCACACCATGGTCGGTCGAGGAAGTGACGACGTCCATTATATTGCAGATGATAAGGTCCAGCGGGTGCTCGACGGGACAACTCGCAATATCAAAGTCTTTCAGGAGGTCTCTACACAGACACTGGCGTTACTGGAGTCTGCATGGTACGTTTTTGCTAACGTTCTGTTATTTGCTTGAAAGCTTTGTGTCCCTATCTGTTCTAAAGCTCACTTCTAACAAATAAGTCTATTTTATCCTTACATTTATGTTCGACAACCCATGATTTTATGGAGCCCCGAAGGCTAGCTAGGCAGATAGCATTAGCGAGAGCTATTGTTTGCTAACACCATATGTGCCATTGTTTACGTTCAGTTTGTCTTTTCTATAGTTGTTGTTGCTATTTATAGTATTGTGCTGCAGTAGTTTGTGGAATTTACAAGTCATGTTTCTGTTCTAGATGATTACATTGGGACTAGCGAGGAGGAACAGTTCCGAACAACGTCCTCTGCATCAACAGCACAAACCGAGGAGGAGACGATCTGGCCCTGCAGGAACGGCAACTGGCCCAGCAGAATCAATGCCATGTCTTATCTTATTGCTTGTTGATAAATAATTGCACCCACCAGCGATCACACAGAAAGATGGCATCATCTAGGCGTCCCTCTGCAGTCAGAAATATCATAAACACCATCGTCCACAAAACACTGTACAGGGGTTTATGGATTTAAGAGAATATTTATCACAGTGAAACCTTTATCATCTGTTGCAATTAAAGCAAATAAGAGAATAAATACTTGGTTAAATAATACATTTTAACTCTTTAGCAGGACAACTCTGCATACTGTTTGAAATTGAGTTTGCTAGCTTGAGGTCCTCCTCTAAAACATAACATTACATAATGGTATTAAGAATACATGATAAATACATGTAGTAAAAATTACTCAATTGTAATACCCTCGTTGTGCTAGACTCAAACACATTGCTTATATATTTCAAAGAGAAGAGAACAAAATAAAACACCTATACAAAGAGAGCGGTGCACAGCGCTTAATATTTACTTGCACTATATTTCTGTTGATCTGGGTTATTGTGTTGCACTGTTGGAGGAGCCTGTGACCTAAGATGTTCATTGTCATAACTACACTAGCTATGTTCGTATGACAAAATAAAAAACCTTGAACCTTGAGGCTGTGTCTTTCAGACAAACCATCATAATCATATTATTTTATGCTGTGGATACTTTAGCCTCCATCCATGTTAACAATTTTTTACACTTGCATTTATGAATATAGTTCTGTTGTGTTTTACACTTTTGTATTTATGTTTATAGTTTGCTTTGATATTTGCTTCATTTATTAGATTATTATTATTATGGGGGCAGTACTGGTGCTTGAAATTCAAATATTTACTAAATAGTCAATTCTGATAACATTTTTTTGGTTTAAATAATTTGACAAACACATGTATGTGAAAAAGAAAAGATGTATTTATGTTCAATACAATGAATATTTAGGTATTACATTATACATTCTAGGTATTCAGGTGCGCATCAGACCCAAGTAACATGTAATGTAATGTTGACTAACTTATAACGAGCAAAACATTCCGGTTTTTAACATATATTATACAATAATGTCGCTTTCTCACAATGTCCTCAGTATTTATTGCTTTTATCACTGAATAAACATGTATTACATTTTGCAAACATGAAAAAACACATCAGTTTTACACATTTTTAAACACCTTAATTCCTGAATGACAACTTCGCTGTTTTCTGTTCATAATGCCCTCTTTTGAATTCATGTAATGAACGTAGGTTTTCCTCAGGCATCCTGAAGTTCTCCACCCACTTTGTGTGTGAAAGATGGAACAATCACATTCCACCACTCGGTAGCTCGGTCGGTAACTTCTGAAATACACAAACAAAAGCATACATATTTTAATACGTAAAAGTGGTAGCTACAATTAATTAAATACTTGAAATACTTTGGTCGTATAGGGATCGTGAGCCTAAACACATTGCTAGTTAGCGAACGTTAGCTTACCAAGTAGCATCGTAGTTAGTAGTGATTCGAGTCGTCCTGTAGTCTCTGCGGCGTAGGAGGACTGCCCGAACTCTCGCGTCAGCTTCTTCTATACGTCGCCTCTTTCGAAACAACTCTTGTCTATTTCTTGTGATAATAAACCACACAGCAAAAAACAAGCAAACGATCGCTTTCACATCTTCACATCCTCCATTGTTGTGTCGCATTGAAGATGACGTCACGGCAGTTTTAAGCAGCGTCGCTCCGCCTATACTGCGCTACTATAGATACTACCCCAGTTCCTAAACTGTAATGGAAACGCGCCATAAAGTGAGCTGGTCCTAACGAGGCCAATTGCGGCCCAGCCATACC